ATTTAATCTAAATGAAAACATCTATTCCTCAAGATCCTGCAAGAGAGTAATCACAGACTTCATTCTATTTTGGAAGTGGAAAATTGTTATATCTACATAAATGCATTACAAAAAGAATGTGCCGAAAATGTAATTTGGCCTCTTGGCTTTCGTTATGGAAGAGATAACCTTTGTAAAGAACGAAAAGTAAAACATTAAATTGGTGGAAGAAAAGGCAACTGCTCACACATCCATGAAAAGCCCCACAACACACACTCCTACACACACACACACACACTTAAGAGCGATCACAGACACAGACGCTGCGTTTCTGTATGTATATTTGATATATCAGCCACGGACAGCCATTTTGTTTTGGTCCATTGTTCATGTTTGCTGTCATCTTCATCTTCTGTACACAAACGGCCAGAAGGGTTTCTAAAAGGCTGACCGTACACTAATCTACCACTGCTCTCTGACATAGTGAGGTTTCGAATTGTATACATGTGAGTTTTCACTCCGGTCCACGTCGAGAGAGTGTCCTTCAAAACCCGTGTGCACACACCGTACAATGCTGTGTATGTGTGTGTACATATATGTGTGTGTAGGGGGAGAAATGGGGCAAAGGGAAAGGTAGTTTTAATGTTCTGACTTCTCTAAATGTGTTTTTCTTAAACATAAACTGTGAATATATTAATCCATTGTGTGCCTGAGAGACACAGTCATTATAATAGAGTCGGATTGCCATTTATTTTTAAATCCAGAACCAGAAAAAAGAAAAGCGGCTCCAATCAGCGGGGGTGTGGAGGAGGAAGGTAAAACGTCCTCTCAGTTTACCCATATTTACTATTTTTCATTTGCGTGGACGGAGTATAATACTTAATAAGCTGATGTAAAGATTTACTTTCTCTACATAACGACATCATGGTAACCAAAAGAGACGAGGCTAGTATTAGAGGTGAAATGTAAAACTTAAGAAAACGATGTCGCCAAAAGCTTTCAGTAGCTAATAAAAAACAGGTCTGTGTTCAAGCAGGGTGTCCGCGGGGTCTTAAAAAGTATTACAAGTTGATAAATCAATTTAGCGAAAATGAAGGCTATTAAAAAGTATTAAACGGCATTTTCCAAGGTATTACATTTTGTAGCTTGTTTTCAATAAGTATATAAATGGTCCAAAGAGGTTGTATTCTACAGTGTGCCTGAATGTAATCATGGCGTAGGTGTGTAGTGTGATTCTGTGTCGTTTATTGATGGCATCCCGTTGGGTTTGACGTCGTCTGAACAGGACATCGCACGCTCACTGCTTGATAGCGCGCGAAGGTCCGTTTACGCCGGTTGCTAAACAACATCGTTATGGGGAAATGCAAGTCTGCGTCCAAATGGTTGGAAGATAAGGAGGAAGGACAATCAATACTGTATACATCAAGGATCACTTAATCCTTAAGTTGTTTTATTTTATTTGTATCGTTATCGAGAGACAGGGTTGTTTTGGACATGGTTTATAGTTTAGAAATCCCTATTCTTTATTTAACATCGGTTGTAACATTTTGTTGGGACCACGCATTCTCATATTCGGGCCTCAAAATAATGTGTTATCATTGGTAGAATCAAATAAATGAATTCAACTTTATGCAATAAATAATCAGATTAAATACAATACTATAAATAAAACTCTGGCGGGTTTATGATGAAATGTTGAGAAATGCTCTCGCAGGCGTTTTGAAAAATGTTATTCCAGCTTTTATTTAAAATTGGCCTTTTTCCATTTTATTGAATAACAATAAAACAAGGCTTACAATTTACACAGAGCACATCAAGCAAATCAAATAATATATGGAAAGAAATACATTTTATGGCTTAAATGAGCTCAGATAATCTCAAGGTTATATGTGCTAACTGTATTCCGCTGATTTCTCCATGGGAAGAATCCTGTATTACCTTGACAAAGCGGCTACATTTTGGTACATTACTTGTCAGTCTAAAAATGAAAAAAACTCTCAGATTTTCAGTAATCTTGGAAATGACTCGAATCACAGGGCGGATACACGCGATATTTTTTACTTGTGCAAAGAGCCTTTCCGGTGGTATCATAGTATCATGCTAGTTTCAAAATGTGTTATATCTTTATTTTCTGAATACTCTGAGTGTCCATAGGTTGTCGTTTTTTCTGCGATACTAATAGATCACCTGGTAGAGCAGGCGGCCAAAGCATTAGGTTTCAGTCCGTGCTACGGCAGACCTACTTCGACCTACGGAGCATTTACGCATATCATACCCTGATATATGTGTGTGTGTCACCCTTTCAAATCTGTCTTTGGAAAACATAATCTAAATCACAACTTCAAAATGTTGTTACCTCTTCCTTTCTGAACAGCATTTACAATGGTTTGTCTTATTTGAAACAAATATATATGCATTTTTATTGTTGTTCTGAGTTTGGATCTTTACGGTTTATTACTTTTTGAAAGTTGCTTTGTATAAAAGTGTCAGCGTAGTGAACTGTAATGACGAAAACAGCAAATGCGCCACATACTATCTGTTTCATAGCGGTTATTTTTTTCGTTGTGAAGTCTAAAGGAAGTTATAAACCGAAAAAAACTGCCTTGAAGTCGTTGAAAAACAGATGTAGCTCTCTGGAGTAGAAATAATGGTTTTAGGTTAAGAAATAATGAAAACACGGTTATTGATGGATGAAAATGAACACAAATAAATCTGGTTATCAGTATTGAATTCCGCCTTTATTCATTCTTTATTAGGGTCCCCATTAGCACTAGCATGAGCATTGGCTATTCTTCCTGGGGTCCTCACA